GAGAGAGAGAGAGAGAGAGAGAGAGAGAGAGAGAGAGAGAGAGAGAGAGAGAGAGAGAGAGAGAGAGAGAGAGAGAGAGAGAGAGAGAGAGAGAGAGAGAGAGAGAGAGAGAGAGAGAGAGAGAGAGAGAGAGAGAGAGAGAGAGAGAGAGAGAGAGAGAGAGAGAGAGAGAGAGAGAGAGAGAGAGAGAGAGAGAGAGAGAGAGAGAGAGAGAGAGAGAGAGAGAGAGAGAGAGAGAGAGAGAGAGAGAGAGAGAGAGAGAGAGAGAGAGAGAGAGAGAGAGAGAGAGAGAGAGAGAGAGAGAGAGAGAGAGAGAGAGAGAGAGAGAGAGAGAGAGAGAGAGAGAGAGAGAGAGAGAGAGAGAGAGAGAGAGAGAGAGAGAGAGAGAGAGAGAGAGAGAGAGAGAGAGAGAGAGAGAGAGAGAGAGAGAGAGAGAGAGAGAGAGAGAGAGAGAGAGAGAGAGAGAGAGAGAGAGAGAGAGAGAGAGAGAGAGAGAGAGAGAGAGAGAGAGAGAGAGAGAGAGAGAGAGAGAGAGAGAGAGAGAGAGAGAGAGAGAGAGAGAGAGAGAGAGAGAGAGAGAGAGAGAGAGAGAGAGAGAGAGAGAGAGAGAGAGAGAGAGAGAGAGAGAGAGAGAGAGAGAGAGAGAGAGAGAGAGAGAGAGAGAGAGAGAGAGAGAGAGAGAGAGAGAGAGAGAGAGAGAGAGAGAGAGAGAGAGAGAGAGAGAGAGAGAGAGAGAGAGAGAGAGAGAGAGAGAGAGAGATAGATAGATAGATAGATTGATTGATTGATTGATTGATGGTTAGTAGCAGTAAAAGCTTAATAAACTAAAACTGAATAAAAATTAGCACATTAAAAAAATAAATAAAGCTACTAAAAGGATAAAAATTGACAACAACATTCCTAAAACTTTAACTAAAATCAAAGTGAAAACAGAAAAAATAAAAATAACTAAAACTAAATAAACTAAAACTTTATAAAAACCAATATAGACATATAAACTAACTATTAAAAATGGCAAAAGCACACAACAAAATTCCTAAAACTGTAACTAAAATGTGAAAACAAGAATTATATAAGAATAACTTAAAAATAAATGAACTAAAACTAATTTAAAAAACTATATAGGTAATACTATAGGTAACTACACATTTTAAAAATGATTAAAACTAAAACTTTAATTAAAATTAAAGTGCAAATAGAAAGTATAAAAATAACTAAAACTAAACCCAATAAAAAGTAATAAAAAAACATATCAACATATTTAAAAAATGCTAAAATAGCAAGAACACAACAAAATTACTAAAACTTTACCTAAACAAAGCTAAGACAGAAAATATAAAAATCAAATTCAAAATATTAACAAAATCTATAAAAGTATATCAATAATATAACACTGGTGCTACAAAAACGTCAATTTATAAACAGGCATAATTAGTCAAAATGAATAGTTTTTTCATAAAACTTGTGTTGCAAGATATTGCTCTATATTATGATGACTGTGTCAAATTTCTTTAAATTGCAATTAAGTCAATTCAGCTTCCAGTATGTTGTTTCTAATTTGATTCAAATTCACGTTCATGAATCGAAAGAGTGTATTCTTTCATTCAGAAGCAGAATTTCTCTTAAACCAGGTTTTCTTTCTCCTGCAGCGTGAAGTGAGATGTTTGAATCTAGACGTCACAGATTGAGTTTCAGAGAGATGTCTGAAACACCCCCACAAAGACTTCCAGCCCTTCTGTCACTCAACGCAATGACATCTGGAATTTCACCGAGACGAGAGAGAGAGAGACACTCACGAGACGAGAGGACAGACGCTGCAGACTTTATCCTGCAATCACACTAGGAAACGCAAACAGAAGAGGAAAGGACGGCACAGAAATAAACAGCATTGCTTTAAAACATGAAACATTTGACGTGGATCAGCACTCTGTCATTCCTGCTTTATTTCTCCTCAGGATCTGCAGATTACAGGTAAGTGACCTTCTCCTGCTTGACGTTAAGCAGCCTCTGTTGTGAAGAAACTAAAGCTTTGACTTTTTGACTTTGGATTGGAGACTTTAGTTTGAGACATTGTTGAGATCGCATGTCAGATTATTTAGGTCTTTTCTTAGGAGAAACATCTGAGAAGTACAGTAGATTGTTCGGCATTTAATTGAGATCTTATTTGGAGTGATTTATGGAGCAGATCAATTCATAAGTTAAAAGGCGACAGTAATTAATGTGCAAAAACTTTTGTGACCAGTGCAACCTTTTTAATTCAAGTCAATATTTCTTGAAAACTATTTTTATTGCTTTTGTAGCCATATTAAATGCATAAACTGCAAAAAAATAAATAAATAAATAAATAAAAAAAAAATATATATATATATAAATACACAAACTGCAAAACTGAAAAATAAAAAACAATCAAAATTAGTGAGTTAAAAAAATCTGTTAATGGGGTAAGAGAAATAAAACCAAAAACAATATTATGTTTCTTATTGCATTGCCAGATATTTAATGTTTTAAGCAAAAACTCACTTCATTTTGGTGTATTTTTAAGAAAACAAGACTTAATATCTGAAGTCTTTTTGCTTCTCAAGTAAACATATCTTGATGTATACATTTAAAAAAAAAATTAAATGGAAGACAAGACAAAAATACACTCTACAACAAGGTTTCATTAACGCATAACTGCATTAGTTAACATGATTTAACAATCGCAACTACTTATAAAGCTTTTAATAATCTTTTTATCAATATTCATTTCAAAATGTACTACTACATTATTAAAATCAAAAGTTGTACCTTATATAATTTCATTTATTTGAGCTGGCATGATCAAATAATGAATAGTAGGTTTTTTTGTACAATAACTTTTGAATAGTTGTGTTTTTAGTAACTAACGTTAATGAAGATGGATAAACACTGAAACAAATGTATTGCTCATTGTTAGTTAATGCATTAACTCATGTTAACTAATGATATGTTATAGTGTTATCAAAATAGAAATCTTTTTTCAGAGTAATGTGAATTTACTTTGATTACTTCAATTGAATCAAACAATGAGTTAATTGTTAACTTGAATGGCTGTTAATCGTCAATTCAAATCACTATTAAATACAAAAGTAGCTGTAAGTGATGCACAAGCTTGAACAGATTTGAAGGATTTGTGCAGTATTTAAGTAAATGGCTGTTGTTGTGTTGGTTTGTGAAGCTGTCGGTGCTGATCTGCCAATGATGAGCTGCTACTTTTGGCCGTAATGAGCGTTGGCCACCTGTTCACACGACTGGCTCCCATTTGCTGCTGTACAGAGTTTATTTCCGTCGGTTCACTGATTCACTCCGTCCCGCTGGAGCCTGGTCCAAATTTAGAGACCAACATGAGAAGCACGCAGAATTACAAACATCTGGAACCACAGAGAGGATGTTGATCACTCAATAAAAGCAGTTTTGTCTTTTGTTTTGACATATTTTCTGTTGAAACAGTTACTGGGGCAGGTAATATATTGCTATAGGCTTTAGTTGACTTTCTGTTGCTAGGCAGATTAATTGGGAGTGGCTTGCTCATTCTAGAGAGCATCTGATTGGACGAAAATGTGTGTAGTGCAGGATGAGTCATCAGTATTATTTTTATGTTTATTGGTCCAGGAAGAGATAAATTGTCAAATTTGAATATGTTATTATTATTATTATTATTGAACTTATTATTATTGCAAGGTTTGTGAAATTAAATTTTGTTAGATATATTTAAAGACTTGTTTAAGTGATATAAATCTATATTTGCTGAATACTGTAGATGAGAAAGTATTAGAAAGTATTAGGCCTTCTCATAGCTGTCAAAATAAAAGTCCTCAGACACATCAGCCGAACAGAAAAACTATGATGATAATTAAAAAATGCCAAATACTCGCCGAAATATCAGCCAACCACTAATTATTTTTCATTTTAGTAGCACATTTGGATATAGATGATTTCAAATATAACAGAGATCATCTCAAAGCCACAAATTGTGAACATAGCTCTGTGTGTGTGTACAGCGGCTGGACAAAGTTGAGAAATGTTTAACTTAATGCAAATGAGCTTACAAGATGGAAGTATATAATGTATGACATCTAAAAATGTTATGTGTTAAACGTATCAATATAACAACTAAGATTGATACATGCATTCATAAATCTTGTTCATTATTTGATGCATTGTGCACTGCTGCAATTTCATTTATTTACAAAATGTTCCTATTAAGTGGCAAGAAATCTCATATAATAATCAGACTTTTAAAAATGCAATGGGATTTTAAGCGAAAAGCTCTTTTTTTCTGCAACAATATTTCAAAGCCAAAACCTCTTCCAGGCATGTGAAATGTCCATGAAAGCCTGTTCAAGTAACTGTCAGTGTAAACGACACGCACCTTCTGCTCCTGATCCATCTGCTGAGGTGTGATTGCCGTGAATAGTGCAAGGTTTAATTATAGCAGAAATGTGGTGAAGGAGATTTTAGAGGTTCCTGTAAGAGGCATCTGTTAAACACTTAAAGAGCCATAAACACAGAGGTTCCTATATCCTGTCTGTTCAAATCCCCGCTGGATCTTCATGTGTGTTTCCACATTTCTGCTGCTTTTACAGCTGCAATTAGTCTAGGAGGGTCACAGGTCACCAGAAAGAGACTTTTACCTTCAAATCATGGCTCATTTTCACCTGAAACAACCTGTGATCTTCTAAAAGCCTAAAATACGTCCAGTGGTCAACAAGTCATGGCAGTCTTTATACTGAAAAATATGTGTAGATTAACCATTTTTACTCAGGATTTGGTAGTAAATTTCACAATTTTGCTCTTATATGTTTTCATATTAGTAATAGAAAACATTATTTTGAAGTGAGATGTTTGAATCTAGACGTCACAGATTGAGTTTCAGAGAGATGTCTGAAACACCCCCACAAAGACTTCCAGCCCTTCTGTCACTCAACGCAATGACATCTGGAATTTCACCGAGACGAGAGAGAGAGAGACACTCACGAGACGAGAGGACAGACGCTGCAGACTTTATCCTGCAATCACACTAGGAAACGCAAACAGAAGAGGAAAGGACGGCACAGAAATAAACAGCATTGCTTTAAAACATGAAACATTTGACGTGGATCAGCACTCTGTCATTCCTGCTTTATTTCTCCTCAGGATCTGCAGATTACAGGTAAGTGACCTTCTCCTGCTTGACGTTAAGCAGCCTCTGTTGTGAAGAAACTAAAGCTTTGACTTTTTGACTTTGGATTGGAGACTTTGAGACATTGTTGAGATCGCATGTCAGATTATTTAGGTCTTTTCTTAGGAGAAACATTTGAGAAGTACAGTAGATTGTTCGGCATTTAATTGAGATCTTATTTGGAGTGATTTATGGAGCAGATCAATTCATAAGTTAAAAGGCGACAGTAATTAGTGTGCAAAAACTTTTGTGACCAGTGCAACCTTTTTAATTCAAGTCAATATTTCTTGAAAAATATTTTTATTGCTTTTGTAGCCATATTAAATGCATAAACTGCAAAAAAAATATATATATATATAAATACACAAACTGCAAAACTGAAAAATAAAAAACAATCAAAATTAGTGAGTTAAAAAAATCTGTTAATGGGGTAAGAGAAATAAAACCAAAAACAATATTATGTTTCTTATTGCATTGCCAGATATTTAATGTTTTAAGCAAAAACTCACTTCATTTTGGTGTATTTTTAAGAAAACAAGACTTAATATCTGAAGTCTTTTTGCTTCTCAAGTAAACATATCTTGATGTATACATTTAAAAAAAAAATTAAATGGAAGACAAGACAAAAATACACTCTACAACAAGGTTTCATTAACGCATAACTGCATTAGTTAACATGATTTAACAATCGCAACTACTTATAAAGCTTTTAATAATCTTTTTATCAATATTCATTTCAAAATGTACTACTACATTATTAAAATCAAAAGTTGTACCTTATATAATTTCATTTATTTGAGCTGGCATGATCAAATAATGAATAGTAGGTTTTTTTGTACAATAACTTTTGAATAGTTGTGTTTTTAGTAACTAACGTTAATGAAGATGGATAAACACTGAAACAAATGTATTGCTCATTGTTAGTTAATGCATTAACTCATGTTAACTAATGATATGTTATAGTGTTATCAAAATAGAAATCTTTTTTCAGAGTAATGTGAATTTACTTTGATTACTTCAATTGAATCAAACAATGAGTTAATTGTTAACTTGAATGGCTGTTAATCGTCAATTCAAATCACTATTAAATACAAAAGTAGCTGTAAGTGATGCACAAGCTTGAACAGATTTGAAGGATTTGTGCAGTATTTAAGTAAATGGCTGTTGTTGTGTTGGTTTGTGAAGCTTGATGTATACATTTAAAAAAAAAATTAAATGGAAGACAAGACAAAAATACACTCTACAACAAGGTTTCATTAACGCATAACTGCATTAGTTAACATGATTTAACAATCGCAACTACTTATAAAGCTTTTAATAATCTTTTTATCAATATTCATTTCAAAATGTACTACTACATTATTAAAATCAAAAGTTGTACCTTATATAATTTCATTTATTTGAGCTGGCATGATCAAATAATGAATAGTAGGTTTTTTTGTACAATAACTTTTGAATAGTTGTGTTTTTAGTAACTAGCGTTAATGAAGATGGATAAACACTGAAACAAATGTATTGCTCATTGTTAGTTAATGCATTAACTAATGTTAACTAATGAGATGTTATTGTAAAGTGTTATCAAAATAGAAAACCTTTTTTCAGAGTAATGTGAATTTACTTTGATTACTTCAATTGAATCAAACAATGAGTTAATTGTTAACTTGAATGGCTGTTAATCGTCAATTCAAATCACTATTAAATACAAAAGTAGCTGTAAGTGATGCACAAGCTTGAACAGATTTGAAGGATTTGTGCAGTATTTAAGTAAATGGCTGTTGTTGTGTTGGTTTGTGAAGCTGTCGGTGCTGATCTGCCAATGATGAGCTGCTACTTTTGGCCGTAATGAGCGTTGGCCACCTGTTCACACGACTGGCTCCCATTTGCTGCTGTACAGAGTTTATTTCCGTCGGTTCACTGATTCACTCCGTCCCGCTGGAGCCTGGTCCAAATTTAGAGACCAACATGAGAAGCACGCAGAATTACAAACATCTGGAACCACAGAGAGGATGTTGATCACTCAATAAAAGCAGTTTTGTCTTTTGTTTTGACATATTTTCTGTTGAAACAGTTACTGGGGCAGGTAATATATTGCTATAGGCTTTAGTTGACTTTCTGTTGCTAGGCAGATTAATTGGGAGTGGCTTGCTCATTCTAGAGAGCATCTGATTGGACGAAAATGTGTGTAGTGCAGGATGAGTCATCAGTATTATTTTTATGTTTATTGGTCCAGGAAGAGATAAATTGTCAAATTTGAATATGTTATTATTATTATTATTATTGAACTTATTATTATTGCAAGGTTTGTGAAATTAAATTTTGTTAGATATATTTAAAGACTTGTTTAAGTGATATAAATCTATATTTGCTGAATACTGTAGATGAGAAAGTATTAGAAAGTATTAGGCCTTCTCATAGCTGTCAAAATAAAAGTCCTCAGACACATCAGCCGAACAGAAAAACTATGATGATAATTAAAAAATGCCAAATACTCGCCGAAATATCAGCCAACCACTAATTATTTTTCATTTTAGTAGCACATTTGGATATAGATGATTTCAAATATAACAGAGATCATCTCAAAGCCACAAATTGTGAACATAGCTCTGTGTGTGTGTACAGCGGCTGGACAAAGTTGAGAAATGTTTAACTTAATGCAAATGAGCTTACAAGATGGAAGTATATAATGTATGACATCTAAAAATGTTATGTGTTAAACGTATCAATATAACAACTAAGATTGATACATGCATTCATAAATCTTGTTCATTATTTGATGCATTGTGCACTGCTGCAATTTCATTTATTTACAAAATGTTCCTATTAAGTGGCAAGAAATCTCATATTATAATCAGACTTTTAAAAATGCAATGGGATTTTAAGCGAAAAGCTCTTTTTTTCTGCAACAATATTTCAAAGCCAAAACCTCTTCCAGGCATGTGAAATGTCCATGAAAGCCTGTTCAAGTAACTGTCAGTGTAAACGACACGCACCTTCTGCTCCTGATCCATCTGCTGAGGTGTGATTGCCGTGAATAGTGCAAGGTTTAATTATAGCAGAAATGTGGTGAAGGAGATTTTAGAGGTTCCTGTAAGAGGCATCTGTTAAACACTTAAAGAGCCATAAACACAGAGGTTCCTATATCCTGTCTGTTCAAATCCAGCCTGGTCCAAATTTAGAGACCAACATGAGAAGCACGCAGAATTACAAACATCTGGAACCACAGAGAGGATGTTGATCACTCAATAAAAGCAGTTTTGTCTTTTGTTTTGACATATTTTCTGTTGAAACAGTTACTGGGGCAGGTAATATATTGCTATAGGCTTTAGTTGACTTTCTGTTGCTAGGCAGATTAATTGGGAGTGGCTTGCTCATTCTAGAGAGCATCTGATTGGACGAAAATGTGTGTAGTGCAGGATGAGTCATCAGTATTATTTTTATGTTTATTGGTCCAGGAAGAGATAAATTGTCAAATTTGAATATGTTATTATTATTATTATTATTGAACTTATTATTATTGCAAGGTTTGTGAAATTAAATTTTGTTAGATATATTTAAAGACTTGTTTAAGTGATATAAATCTATATTTGCTGAATACTGTAGATGAGAAAGTATTAGAAAGTATTAGGCCTTCTCATAGCTGTCAAAATAAAAGTCCTCAGACACATCAGCCGAACAGAAAAACTATGATGATAATTAAAAAATGCCAAATACTCGCCGAAATATCAGCCAACCACTAATTATTTTTCATTTTAGTAGCACATTTGGATATAGATGATTTCAAATATAACAGAGATCATCTCAAAGCCACAAATTGTGAACATAGCTCTGTGTGTGTGTACAGCGGCTGGACAAAGTTGAGAAATGTTTAACTTAATGCAAATGAGCTTACAAGATGGAAGTATATAATGTATGACATCTAAAAATGTTATGTGTTAAACGTATCAATATAACAACTAAGATTGATACATGCATTCATAAATCTTGTTCATTATTTGATGCATTGTGCACTGCTGCAATTTCATTTATTTACAAAATGTTCCTATTAAGTGGCAAGAAATCTCATATTATAATCAGACTTTTAAAAATGCAATGAGATTTTAAGCGAAAAGCTCTTTTTTTTCTGCAGCAATATTTCAAAGCCAAAACCTCTTCCAGGCATGTGAAATGTCCATGAAAGCCTGTTCAAGTAACTGTCAGTGTAAACGACACGCACCTTCTGCTCCTGATCCATCTGCTGAGGTGTGATTGCCGTGAATAGTGCAAGGTTTAATTATAGCAGAAATGTGGTGAAGGAGATTTTAGAGGTTCCTGTAAGAGGCATCTGTTAAACACTTAAAGAGCCATAAACACAGAGGTTCCTATATCCTGTCTGTTCAAATCCCCGCTGGATCTTCATGTGTGTTTCCACATTTCTGCTGCTTTTACAGCTGCAATTAGTCTAGGAGGGTCACAGGTCACCAGAAAGAGACTTTTACCTTCAAATCATGGCTCATTTTCACCTGAAACAACCTGTGATCGTCTAAAAGCCTAAAATACGTCCAGTGGTCAACTAGTCATGGCAGTCTTTATACTGAAAAATATGTGTAGATTAACCATTTTTACTCAGGATTTGGTAGTAAATTTCACAATTTTGCTCTTATATGTTTTCATATTAGTAATAGAAAACATTATTTTGCTTTTATATTGTGATTTTTGGATCATATCTAAATGCATTTTTTTTGTAAAACTGACATGTTTCTGATGTGTTCTGGAAAGGGAAAAGCGTCAGATCCCAGCGAGGAGTTTGGCAGGCGTTTGTCGATACGGCAGCAGACTGGAGTGCTGTTATGGATGGAAGAAAAACCGCAAAGGACACTGTGAAGGTAAATGAGGAGAAATGAACATTTCTACAATTGTGGTTTATTTTTATTTAGTGACAAGGATGTATACAATGTCACTTAAATGGCACATTAAAAAATAATAATCAGAGATTATGAGAATAAAGTCACAATGTTTTGAGAATAAGCTAAATGAGAATGAAGTCGTCGCCTTTTGAGATTAAAGTCTTAACATTTTTATAATAAAGTCAAAATTATGAGAATAAAGTCACAGCAATGCGAGAGTCATGTACAATATTAAACTTGTAAAATTTTGACAATAAAGTATAATAAAATCATAGAATAAAATATAGTATTACACGATTAAAGTCGTAATATTTTGAGAACAATGTCAAAATGACCAGAAAAAAGTCTTAGCAAAATTAGATTCAAATCGTGATTTTTTTTATTTAGAGACAATAATGTAAGTGTATAATGGCGTTGTAGTGCCATAAAAAACATCCTAGATTAGATACGAATGAAGTTGTAGAATTGTGAGGTTAAAGTTATAATACTTTGGTAAAGTCAAAATTACAAGAATAAAGTTGTTCCAATAGAAGAACAAAGTCTGATATGAGGCTAAACTTGTAATAGTTTGAAAATGAAGTCACAATTATGAGAATAAAGTCATAGCATTGTGAAATTAAATGTCAGTATTTATATAATTGTTAATGGAAGTTAAAGTTAATAAAGTTATAAAGTTAATATTTCGGGACATTTGACTTGCAAAATATTACAACTTCAATCTCGCAATGCTATGACTTTATTCTCATAAACTTATGTTATTTGTATATTTATTTATTTACAACACTGTCATATAATTGTCCATACTGTGATTGATTGAGAATTGTTCATGTGACTGTAGCTAGTCATTCAAAACATGGAAACACTGGGTAAATATTCCATCCACAAACTCATATGATACATTCATTCTTTCTGCGGTTTGGTGCTTTTAAACCACACTGAACTCTGAGAGGAAATCTGGGAGAACAGAAGTTGGCTTTGGTTTCCAGACGTGTGGTTTTGTGAACGGATTTGACCTGCGCTGTTTCCTTTACTAATATATCTCTGCTGTTGAATGTTTTACCAGCTCAGTGTGACCTGGGCTGCAAACACGGCGAGTGTGTCGGCCCCAACAAATGCAAGTGCTTCCCCGGATACACCGGAAAGACATGTAGTCAAGGTTTGTGCCAGTGGTATTTGAGCGGTATTACAGTTTTTGTTAATATTTTGATTGTTTATTTTTATATTTTTAAAATGTTTAGTAATTTTGTTGTGTTTTTTGTATTGCTGTCAAACGATTAATCGCGATTAATTGCATCCAAAATAAAAGTTTTTGTTTACATAATATATGTGTGTGTGTACTGTGTACATTTATTATGTTTATATAAATACACAAACATACAGTATATATTTTGAAAATATTTACATGCATTTACATATATATATTTATATTTGTTTAATTTATATTATATATAAAGATATTTAAAACTTAAACATAACATATTTTTCTTAAATATATACATGCATGTGTGTATATTTATATAAACAATAAATATACACAGTATACACACACATATATTATCTAAAAAAAACTTTTATTTTGGATGTGATTAATCGCGATTAATCGTTTGACGGAGAGTTTTTATTTATTTATTATTTATTATACGTTATTTAATTTTTCTATAATTTTGTATTCATGAGTTTTAGTTTTTTGTTTATTTTATTTTATTTAGTTCAACTTATACTGCAGGGGTTTTTTTTTGTATATTGTTATGTTAAGTTAATGTATTTTATTTCAAGTAAGGCTTTTTTGTTGTTGTTGTTGTTGGTTGGTTTTCCCTTGTTTGTCTTTGCAAGCGATTCAGTGCATCAGTGAACTGTGAATCAAACTGAGTCACAAACTAATTCAGCCCAAATCCATTCGTCAGATTAGTTCAAAAGAGTGAGTAATTTGCGCAATCTTGCATGTCTAGTTCTGATTCTAAAAGCTGATAGAAAACACACACACACCATGGTTCCTGAAATATCGTCAAGGAAAACAAGTCTCATATCGGTATATGGTAATCTCTGTTGTCAGAAGGATTTATCAGTAATATTTTACAGTAAAAATGGTCTGATGCCTCTGTATCATGGCTGATATTACTATTGATTCATTCATCACATTGACAATGGAAGGTCACTGCATTGTGAGATTACATGAGATATATTTTACTAAATGTAGTAGGTCATCCATGCATACAGTAAATTACAGTACAGTAAAAAAAGACTCTACAATGTATTTATGCTATATAATGCAGAAATAATGTGCTTTGTGCACAGCCTTTGACTAGCCTGTCTCTTTCTGTCTCTGGCTTCAGATCTGAATGAGTGCGGTCTAAAGCCTCGGCCCTGTGAACATCGCTGTATGAACACATTTGGAAGCTATATGTGCTACTGCTTAAACGGATACATGCTGATGTCTGATGGCTCCTGTACAAGTAAGTGACTGTGCTGCAATATATTTAAATGTGAGTATAATAGAGTAAGTTCTTAAACTTTTGGATCCAAGTTCAATAAGCTATCGTTTTGAAGCTAAATGAGTATCAATATTGCACATTATTGATGTAAATCTTATGTAAATCCACTAAATAATTTAAGTTTGCTTAATCTGGGTATTAATTAGTTGCACAAACTCAAAGTGTCATATTATTTATATGCACCAAAACAAGTGTATACAATGTATTCCATAAAATTGACGATGAACATTGAACATTAATCACCCGAAGGGTGACATAAAAAACTTTACATACAGCTAAACGGCTAATTCAGAATAACAAATATTTGCATGTGCTCATAAGTCGACATGCTTTAACCAAAAGCACAAATGTTTTAAGTGCAATGGATTATGGGTGATCAAACTGAGCATGTTCAGCAGCCCATTGGTTTGATATTGCAAGTTCTTGCTGTTTAATAATTTAAGATGCACATACTAAATGACCTAAAAGTTGACTTTATTTAACATTTTATTCAGGCTAATGTCAGCTTTTGTACATTAGTTAATTCAATCAGCCTTTGAATCTGAGTTTGTCTTGTATTAAAGTGAAGGTCTGTGGATGTTTTGTCGTGTGTCCTGCAGACTCTAGGACGTGTTCTCTGGCTCACTGTCAGTACGGCTGTGGGGAGGTGCAGGGTGAGGTCCGCTGTCTCTGTCCGTCTCCTGGCCTGCAGCTGGGATTTGATGGGAAGACCTGTGAGGGTGAGAACAGCTCAATGACACCCGCTCTTCAGATGAAGCTGTTGCTATAGTAACTGCTCACTCACTGATGAGAGTGATGGAGCTGCTCAGTGCAAGTCAGATTTCGGGTCTGGATTTGCTCTGTGTTTTTTCTTTATCATACCAATAATAACTTGACCTCTACATCTGATTAAACAGAATTTTTTTTTTCTTTCGGAGACCTCAGATTATTTATTTTTTGCTTAAAATAAACCTGATTTTTTTTAAGTGGTCAACCCAGAAATATCAGTGAATTTTAAAATTAGATTTCAATGAAAAACAACAACAACAATAATAATAATAATTTTAAGTAAATTTTTCTGACCCCACTGGTAATTTTTTTTCTTCAAAATTAGTTGAATTTATGCTTAAAATGAGATTATAAAAAAAATCTGCCAATGGGGTCAGAAAAAAATATCTTGGTTTCCCGTTGAATTAAGTTAATTTTTTGCATGCATAAATAAGTAAATAAATAAATAAATACAATTTTCTAGTTGTGCTTTGCTTTAAAATATTTAATTGGTTTGTGTGGGGTTTGTGGTATTTGTGATTGTTATGTATTGGAATTATTTGATAAAAATCCTTGTAATCAAGAGCTAGTGGAAAAATCATGGAAATTCATAAGTCACTGTGGATCAATGAAAGCCGATAATCAAGATGCCTAATCAACTCTTGTTGTTTGCCTCATTTTCTTCTTCAGACATTGATGAATGTGCAACCGGGAAAATCCAGTGTCCGTTTAACCGTCAGTGCACCAACACATTTGGAAGCTACTACTGCAAGTGTCAGACGGGTTATGATCTCAAATACGTCAATGGGAAATATGACTGCGTTGGTAAGAAAGGAACAGTGCAACTTGCTGTTATTATTGACTAAATAATAGAGTGCAGCAGTCGTGTCTTGAAAGTAAAACTTTATTGTAAAGTTGTAAATAAAACAAAGATTATTGTATGTTTTGAAAGAAAATACTATTTCTGTTTTTCTACTTCAAAGTTTCGGGTTTAATTCACTGTTACTTGCTATTTCTTTGTAATCATTTTAAAAATGTACTAGCAATTTATGAGTGAAATTTGTTTCAAAGTTAATCCTGCATAATTTCTGACTTTTTCAGGATATAAACTCAGAACTGCAGAAAAGTCTGAATTGCGACATATAAACTTGCATTTGCGAGAAACAAAATCAGAATTGTTTGTAACTGTGGTGAAAAACAAAACAAAAATTAAAAAAACTGAAATGCAGGATGTAAACTCAGAATTCAGAAAAAAGTCTGAGTTGTGAGAAAAAGTCTGTAGTAAGTAATTATGACTTTTTCTCAGACTTGCTAGAAACATTGTATTGTCATTACTGATTTGATTGTAACAGTGCATCATGGGATGAGTAGTTTAATTCCTCATACAATAACGAAACAGTCTTTTTTCTAATTTTCGAAAATACACCTTTACTTGAAATATTGTGATTCATTTGGAGCCTCTTGCTTTGGTTCATGACTCAGAACCCTTTAATAAATAAAGTTTTACATGCTTGGAGAGAATTATTAGAATACTTACAGAATCAAGGCCGCTGAAACAATGTGCATTCACTCTTATGCTTTATATCTATTAGATATATGCATTGCATATGCAACTGAAAGATGTGAAACAATGATAAGAATGATCCATAATTTGAAATGTGATACTAAAACACTGTATTTTCAGATATAAATGAATGTGTGTCCAACACACATAAGTGCAGTCATCACGCTGAGTGCATCAACACACATGGATCCTACAAGTGTAAATGCAAGCAGGGTTTCCGTGGCAGTGGATTTGATTGTTCAGGTGAGAGACAAAATCAAACATGAAAGCAATGAGTCAGTAAAATTAATTATATGCATAATATACAGTATTATAGATTGGAATGGTTGCTATTGGTTGAAATATACACCGCCAGTGATGAGTTTGGACATACTGACCGAATGTATGTTTCTCGTGATCTTAAAGACCTTAAATTCTTCAATGCTTGAAATTATTTTTGTAGAATATAAATCTAAACTATAATGCATGTGTGAAATTCTTAACAAAACTAAAATGCAACAATGCACCTCAATAAAACTCTGAAATAATAAGATAGATAGATAGTCCTAGGAGTAAGGTTCTGTGTCCAAACTCTTGACTTTTCTACTGTATATTTTGCATATGGATATGCAATTATATTTTGAGTTCATTTGTGTGAGTATCTGTTTGTAATTATCCTTGAAGGGGTGAAATGACAGGAAAGAAAATGCTGTAGGAAGCATCAGCAGCTCCAAAGTGTTTCCTTTAAAGAGCCTCCTGAATTTCACAGCTGTCAGGCAGAGAAAGTCTGCGACTGAAATCCCACCTGTGTAAATATCTGCGTTTGTACCGAACACACTGAAGTGAAGGCCAAAGGAAACGGTTCTTCTGTGCTGTTTATCTGCATAGACTCCAGAGCTGCACTTCTGTAGAAATGAATGTGGATCCACACATAGAGAAACTTTAGGAGAAACATCTAAGGACGTAGGAAAACTTTTCTAAAGGAAAAGTTCACCCAAAAACGATAATTTGCTGAAAATGTGCTCACCCTCAGACCATCCAATATGTGGATGAGTGTGTTTCTTCATCAGATTTGGAGAAATGTAGCACTGCATCAGTGTATCAGCAATGGATGCTCTGCAGTGAATGGGTGCCGTCAGAATGAGAGTCCAAACAGCTGATAAAAACATCACAATAATCCACAAGCACTCCAGTCCATCAGTTAACATCTGGAGAAGACAAAAGCTGAAACTAATCCATCATTAAGATGTTTTTAACTTGAAACCATAACCATAATCCATAATAAATTAATTATATGCATAATATACAGTATTATAGATTGGAATGGTTGCTATTGGTTGAAATATACACCGCCAGTGATGAGTTTGGACATACTGACCGAATGTATGTTTCTCGTGATCTTAAAGACCTTAAATTCTTCAATGCTTGAAATTATTTTTGTAGAATATAAATCTAAAATATAATGCATGTGTGAAATTCTTAACAAAACTACAATGCACCTCAATAAAACGCTGAAATAATAAGATAGATAGATAGTCCTAGGAGTAAGGTTCTGTGTCCAAACTCTTGACTTTTCTACTGTATATTTTGCATATGGATATGCAATTATATTTTGAGTTCATTTGTGTGAGTATCTGTTTGTAATTATCCTTGAAGGGGTGAAATGACAGGAAAGAAAATGCTGTAGGAATCATCAGCAGCTCCAAAGTGTTTCCTTTAAAGAGCCTCCTGAATTTCACAGCTGTCAGGCAGAGAAAGTCTGCGACTGAAATCCCACCTGTGTAAATATCTGCGTTTGTACCGAACACACTGAAGTGAAGGCCAAAGGAAACGGTTCTTCTGTGCTGTTTATCTGCATAGACTCCAGAGCTGCACTTCTGTAGAAATGAATGTGGATCCACACATAGAGAAACTTTAGGAGAAACATCTAAGGACGTAGGAAAACTTTTCTAAAGGAAAAGTTCACCCAAAAACGATAATTTGCTGAAAATGTGCTCACCCTCAGACCATCCAATATGTGGATGAGTGTGTTTCTTCATCAGATTTGGAGAAATGTAGCACTGCATCAGTGTATCAGCAATGGATGCTCTGCAGTGAATGGGTGCCGTCAGAATGAGAGTCCAAACAGCTGATAAAAACATCACAATAATCCACAAGCACTCCAGTCCATCAGTTAACATCTGGAGAAGACAAAAGCTGAAACTAATCCATCATTAAGATGTTTTTAACTTGAAACCATAACCATAATCCATAATAACACTTCCTCCGGTGAAAAAGTGTTCTGGTGTGAATCAGGAGAGAAATCTGCACAGATCAAGCAGCAGTTAAACAGCTCTAAACACATATGTGGCTCGATTTTGATGTGAGAGACAACAGAAGATGCACTTTTTCACCGGAGGAAGTGTTATTATGGATTATGGTTATGGTTTCAAGTTAAAATCATCTTAATGATGGATTTGTTTCCGCTTTTGTCTTCTCCAGATGTTAACTGATGGACTGGAGTGCTGTGGATTA